CTTTTATCGGCCATAAGTAAATAAAGCTGTTAAGATTGGAAGTTACTTTGAATTCCCCTATTGTTATTAAAATCTTTTCTGTCTCCTGCTTCAACATTAGGAAGTTATACTTTCTCCAATATAAAGGCTTTTTCTATGAATGGAATGACCTGTACGAAATACGAACTCCCGTAGACCAAACCCACTACCATTACGATTTTAATCGTGCGGGAAATATCCTTAAGATTAAAATAGGATGCTTGAAAATACAATTTCTATATAATTAATAAGCTACTCACATTCTGCTGCCTATTAGAGAATGTAATAAGTTTTTTTAAAATATATTTTTCATTACTAATCCTAAAGATAGCATTTGTTGATAGTGTAATTAAAGATAAAATATTGCTCATCATTTTCTGATAATCTGTTAAGATTTATATAAAATTTTACCTTTTAGACAATTTATACCAAAATCAACACTCTCCAACTGTTGTTATGGTATTGCAGCTGCAAATTGGCCTGCAGGGTCAAAGGCCAGGAACGTAGTTTGGGCAATTTCTGAGTGAATTACAGTGAATCGGAACTTGAATATGCATAGTTTGAGACCAAAACCAACTTTATACAGTCAGTAGTCGTGGGAATATGGAAAATGTGCAAATAGGGTCAAAGGTCAAATATGGCATTTCCGGTCATTTTTTAAGCAAATGTCACATTTAAGCAAATAGAAATATGCATGGTCTGAACAATTTAAAAAAGAAAGGAACTCGCTACGACCAGCGGTTCTCAGCACATGTGAACCTTATTTTTCATTCCTAATTTGCGTATTCAAGCTAATTTGCATATGAACGGAAAATGTGACTGAGACACGAAATTTTAGGAATTTAATCCCCTTGTCATGTGCGCTCAATTAGTACAAAACCCCCTTCATTTGCTATTTTCTTATACCGTCTAGCTTAATTTCAAAATACCCCTACCCTATAAAAAGGGGGCGTGGTCATTTAATAAAGGGCGTGGTCATTTTCGGGCTGTTCGTCCCGGATAGAGATTTTGGCACACATCCCATGTTATTCATAGGGTTTATATTAGTCTATAACAGTTGAGACATTCTCTCCTAAATGAAGTGCATACAAATCTTAGTCCGGTTCTAGACTATTAACCAGATCAAAAAAATTGTTCATCTTTTAAATGTTGAGGTCAATGGCTGCAAACACATTACGAACACTCTGGTCGATAAATTTAAGTGCAATTTTGACGATGTAGAAGATTTTACATATCATCGTACTGGTACGGATGCAGGATTTGGCGGCAGGGGGGTGCGTTTAAAAGGTGTTGAAAATTTCGTGAAAATAGTACCTGTAGATGGCCGGAAATGACACTTGTATATAGTACGGTTACACTCATCATCATCACATCATTATATACTCAACATGAAGCGCCAACAAATTCTCATGTTCTTTTAACAGCAATTTTCGGCAGCCACAGAGACCGAATTAATGTATGTGATGTACCATAGAAAATAAAACTTAAAATACATTACCTTTGCCTACTTCAAAGCATTGAGTTCACAACCACCTCAGCCCCACCATGGTTGGGGCTGAGGTGAGAACATTTGAGAAAATAGTACATTTAGGTGGGCGGAAAACACATTTTATATTGTAGATTTTCGGCAACCACAAAGATCTAATTATTATGAGTGATGTACCATAGAAAATAAAACTAAAGAAACATTTTCTTTGATGCATTTAATTTACTTGACCTACCTTAAAGCCGTGATGTCACATCCACCTCAGCCCCACCATGTTTGGGGCTGAGTGAGGTGCGAACATTTGAGGAAATAGTACCTCTAGATGGCCGTAAATGATGCTTTTAAATTGTAAAATTCATCACCATTACATCACAGTGGTGGATTCAAAATGGGCCTATCCGGCCCGGGCCCCCTAAATTTTAAAAAATAACAAAAAAAATTGAGAAAAAAAGAAAATTCTACTAACATTTTTAGTCTAAGGGTGCAATTTCCGGCCATCTAAAGGTGCCATAATCATTTTTTTTTACATCAGCCCCACCATGTTTGTAGTATAGACCATCTGCGGAAATCTTTGGGCCCTCTATTTCAAATTTCTGGATCCGCCACTGCATCATTATTATAGGCCTAGTCAAAATTAAGCGGCAACCAATTCTCATGATCAGTTATTTTCGGCAATAATAGAGATCTAATTAATTAATATACGGTACTATAGATAGAAAATAAAACTAAAAAACATTGTCTTTGATGTATTGACTTATCTTCAAAACCGAGAGTCCACACCCATTTCTGGTAGTACAATTTGGGGAAGTACCTCTAGATTGCCGGATATGACCTCTTATATAATAAAATTCATTATCATCGATCTAATTAATCATTGTGATTCACCATAAAAAGTAAAACTTAATTGTCTTCATGTGCCAAAAACCAGTCTTATCTTTGCACGCTTTTTCTCATGCTTCTCAAACTATAATAAAGGCACGCGCACTAGAGTTGTGTATTATAGGTAATTCAGATATCTGTGGGCAGAGATACCGGTATGTTGCCCTATTTCGTTGAAACCTGGGTCATTTATGCAGTGTATTTCAACATTTTCCAGGCATCTTCTTCATTACCCCAAAAATTTCAATACATAACAAAAATAAATATGGATAAACCCTCCCCCTGTCTACATCCACGACCAATGCAAAATTATTTGAAAATACGAATGAGATACCGAATTGAATGCCTTCTCAAAATCTATATTTAAAAGCAGGCCTGTGAGATTTTAATTTTCAGCAATATTTAATATATCGTAAATAAGCCGGATATTTTCTCAAATGAAGGGCCCTTTTATAAAGCCCCTCTGTTGAACAGTTAAATATTAATGTTGCATTTCTTCTGATTCTGTTTTTTATATAAACGGTATATATGTATTTTATTTCAGTAAAAATTCTGTAAAAGTCTAACCAATGCAAAAGGCACTCTTGAAGATCTCAGCAAACCAGTGGACCAGTGGCTATAATGCTGCTTTCTCGTTTTGTGTTCATTAATTTTGCTGAATGGTGAGTCAAAAATCTTATTCTTATTATGAATTTCATGTCATGTGGGATAACGTTTAACCTGGTTCAGCACTAAGAATAAAACTTTTAATTTCAATACTACAACACAATACTGTTATATTCCCTAATTAAATTATTTCATAATAAAACAATTGGAAAGGTCAAAATAATAAAATTATTTCATTTATCTCATTTATATGACAAAACTATATAAATCTCGGTTTCCATACAATCGCTACACCGTTTTCACTGCAATTCTTGAACTGCGTAGCTGTCCCCGACGTAATCAGGAACGTTCCCTGATTCACGGACCAATCAGCGTTGCCAAAGAAGTCGGCGATAGCGTGTAGCGGTTTTTTTATGGAAACCGAGCTTAAAGTAATTTTCTAATTAGTATTAAATTCCAAATTATCATTATAATTTTGTAAGAAAAAAATATTCTGATAAAATAATAAGATAGGAATAAAGATTAAATATATATATCTATTTATGATATAAAAATGAAAAAAAAATCAAAATATTTAGTAAATTGTATAATTTTAATAATATAAATATTTGTATAACGAGAGTTGTTAGTCAATCCCGTCAGTCTGCTATACACTGGTTAAGTCTAATTATGGGGCTTAGAGAGTGGAGTTGTTTTGGTCATGAGAACAAAATCCTGTTACTGTGACAGACATTAATCCCAGGACCCTGGGTTTGGAAGGCAAACATGTTAACTGCACTCTATACTCAACCATATCTAATATGATTAATAATTAATTGTTAATGCTAATGTTGCATAAAGTGAAATTTAATACAAATTTACATTAATTGAGAATGAATATAATGCTGTGCTAATATATAATTTAAAATGTTGCCCGTTCGTTGATTAAAAAAAAAGATTTAAATTACAACAGATGTTATATTATATGACATTTATATTGTAGCCTATTTCAATTTTACAGTTGTTAATTATAAAATGTCATCAAAATAACTTAATACATGTGATATTATATATCATTTATATTGTAACTGATTTCAATTTTTCAGTATTAACAAACCTACTACTGAATTTGTTAATTTTATTTTAATGTTTTTTCAACATTTACTTTTTGTAGTGGACGTATTAATTGCATTAATGTTTGTACATTCAACAGACTTATATAATTTATTCCTTATTTCAGTGAAAATTCTGAAGGTCTAAAAAAAAGTGGTCTCCTCCTGCTCAGCTCTATGGCAATAATGTTGCTTTCCGGAGAATACGATTCTGGTATTAAAACAAATATATTTATTCATTCATGTATTCGAATAATATTGGAAATAAATATTCATTGTATTCATTTAGTATTGAATAACATTGGAAATAAATGTTTATTGTATTCAAAAAAATAAATATTCATTGTATTTATTTAGTATTGAGTTGTCTTCTGAATTGAAGCGTCCAATATTGGGCAGGATAAAAAAAAAAAAACGCCCTCTAATAGAAAAAGGCCCAAAATATGACTAAGTTTTTTGGCCAATTTAGTCTGTGGAGTTCTGGTAAAAATAGTGAAGAAAAGCGCCCCCAAATAGCCTTTCTGCCCCTAAGTTCTTTAGGGTCTCGTAATTGTCAATGGTAAAAAAAGCCCCCTCTAAAATCCAAGTTTGTCAGAACTCCACATTTGTGGGACACGGATAAACTGGTTATTAGAGGGCGCATTTTACAATCCTTGTAATAGAAATTGACAATTAGAGGCCCTGAAAAACGTAGAAATAAAATGGCTATAGAGGGCGCTTTCCAGCACCACAGGAACCCATTATAAACAGAAATTTAGAGACCCTGGAAATTTTGTTTTTTTATTAGAGGGCACTCTTCAGCACCACTTTAATAGAAATTGAGAGAAAATTTAAAACTTAGTCCTTTTTCTATTAGAGGGCGCTTATTTCGTCTTACCTGCTTATCCAGTCTTCAGACACGACCAGCAAAGAAACACATCAACACATTACTTATATTTTTTATTATAAAAACCTTACAACCAAAATCATAATATATTTTGAATATATAAATGTACATAACTTATATGAAAAATTAATTATAGGAAATTGTTTCTTTTAGTTCAATATTTTACAATGATACAAGCTGTCTTGATATTCCGATAAAAATACAATCTAACTATCGGGCATAATAATATTTTACAATGATACAAGCTGTCTTGATGCTGCAATAACTTGTCATTCAAAATAATTTGTTCAATTCCTTCGATATTCTGATAAAAATACAATCGCTGTATGTTTTCTTTCACCGTGCTTAAGATGTCACAATATTCAGCAAGATGTTAAACTCACCAGTATAACTATTAGGCATAATCAATTAAATTAACTAAAAGTTAGATTGCTTTACACGGCCTAGGTCTATATTAGATACATTAATTATAGAAATTCTGGTTCCTCATCTTACTGTAATTCGATCATAACTTCTGTACAATATGATCAATAATATTTGAGAATGATGCAAGTTCTTTTGATCCAGTAACTTGTTTGTTGAAGATACAATAATTGTTTGTGTTCTTTCACCGGGATTACTCTTTCGAACTCTTCAAGATGTTCCAACTGAATTTCAGTGTATTTTTCTTGTCTTGCAACATTGGTCATGCTCTCCTGCTACATCTGACAAAAATAAAATTTAATAAAAAATGAGAGCTGATAAAGAGAAACAATTTGTAAAAATTGAATAAATGAAGAAACAAGATCAGACTAATAAATTATAATTTCATAAGGTGACTTCAGTATATTTCACTTGATACTTACAACGCCAATGATTCTTTGATGCATATATCTTACAGTAGAGATTTGTCTGTCCTCTGCAAACAAATAGTACAAAGACCAGGATGATACATAAGGAAAAATTACAAAACCAAAAGATGAAAATAAGAAAGCAAAATACAATAGCGGCAGAATAAATTAATTGGAGAGAGCGAAAACGAGGATACTACAAGAAGTGCAAGAGAGGGAAAATATTAGAGAGGCAGGAATGAAAAATGATAAGCCAAGTGTGGAAAAATACAGAACAAATATAAAAATATGAGAAGAGAAGAAAACAACAAAATAAAAACAGGAAAGGAGGAGAACGAGGAACAGCAGATAAGAGGAAGAGAATGAGGAACAGCAGATAAAATATATAAATTAAAAAAATATAATTTATAATTAAAATAAATATAATAATAATAATAATAATAATAATAAAATAATAAATACATAAAAGAATGTAATTTCAGATGGATAATATAGCTAGGTTAGAGGGTGTATCTATTCATAGTTAATATTTTATACCTCTTTGGTTTCATGTCTTCTTGGCCTAAGGTTGTTTCGTTACGATTTTTAAAAAATCCATGAAAATCAATTTGATTTTGTCCTTTCCCTACACGCAGAATGTATCAATAGATTCTCACGCCAATTCTGTCAGTCATTTGCAACACTTACATATTTCAAAATTCATACCATTAATTGTGTAACAACGGCTGCTACCAAGCTTTAGGTCTTGGAATGTATTTACTGCATTTGGTAAGGAAGCAGGCTGGTTGACCCCTGGATATTTTCCAACCGGTATTTTGTCCCCCACACCCTGGACATCGTGCGTTAAATAAAATTTAAAATTTTTATTATTCTTATTATTGTTAATTATTATATTATTATCCATACAGAATAAACAAGGTTATTACATTTGCTCTTTATTATTATTATTCTTATCATTAAATTATGATATAACGCTATTGAAGACAGATTATAATTATACAAACATAAAAACAATATGAATTACATAATACAGTAAGCCATTAAGCTATTAATATTACACATTTCAACACTGAGGCTGAAATTGCTTAACCAACAAGTCTTATCCTTATTTGCAGTACGTGTGACCACGGAGACATAAAGTGACTAGGCCTATGTAATACCATGGAGGAATAAGATTTATGGTAATACCCTATTATACAGTAATATACTGCTATAAAATAATAAGTTTGTGTGTTACAAAAGTGTGTAAACATATGAATGAAATAAGAATATTTAAGACTGAAATAAGGAAAAAATAAGAACACGGAGCCTGGGGAAAAATTCTTACCAATTAGTCTTGCTATCTTGCACTAATGAATATTGTAGGAACAACTACTTTCCTAAAATTAAGTAAAATAAAAAATTAAAATGTATTATTAATTAAAATTTATAATTGAAATTATATATTAGATGTAAAGGAGGGGGAGGGGCGGAAAATATCACGGGGAAAATGTCATGAGTGAAATCTGTCTCTTATACACATCTAGATGTGTATAAGAGACAGGGCTTAGAGAGTNNATTACAACATACAATATACAACTAACCTGAACCTGAAATTTAATACTGTTATTTTATCATATTGAGTGTAAAAATCGGGGTATACATTTTTAAATTTCAATACTTTCTATGCTCAATTTAATAATTTGCATGAGTAATTTAATTTCAAAAATTATTCTATATGATTTTTGTTTAACAACGATGATTTTCTGCCAGTAACGAAAAGATGTTTCAGCAGATTTCCTGAAGATAAAGTTACACCACTTTACAAGTCAATAATAAGACCAATCTTAGAATATGGATCAGTTGTTTGGAAACCAACAACCAAATAAGATATAAATCGTTTAGAAAAGGTACAGAGAAGGTGCTTAAGGCTCTGTTCTTAGGCGAAACTTTCACTTACAGAAAGAAGGAATATGATTGACATGATATCACCAGATATAAACTATGAGGCGTCAAACGTACTTTCATTATTTAACAAAATATTATACATATAATTCATTATTTAGTATATAGTCCAACATTTTTTTTAATTATATTTAATCTAGTTTCCAACAATTATATATAATTAATTGGTGGAGCGATTTTCCTTATTTAAGATCCATGTGTGAATATTATGTATTTTGACTTAAGTTCAGCATTCAATACAATTCAATGTTCTATGCATGTTAATTTCGTTTGTTTTAAATTTTTTGGTTGAACGTTGTCAGTATGTAGTAATATTATTTCTGATACTATGTGTACCAGTACACGGGGGGGGGGGGGCTCCACAAGGTACGGTATTGCCGCCTTGTCTGTTTGCTCTATATACTCAAGATTTTAGGTCTATATCTCCAAGTTGTCCATTGATAAAATCTACGGACGACTCGGCTATGGTTGGGCTTATCAATAACAACAAATGAATCTTTATACCAGTCTGAGATTAACAGATTTATCAAATATTGTGAAAATAATTTTCTTGAATTAAACATAAATAAAACGAAAGAAATGCGGATCGATTAATAATAATAGTAATAGGTGCGAAGTATCTTGGAGTGGTGTTCGACAATAAGCTTAAATGGGGGGACCATGTTGATCCTCTATTGTTTGAGGAAACTGCGTTCATTTGGGGTAAAGCAAGATATCTGTAGAACGTTTTACTCATCAGTCATGATGTTATTTACTTGGGGTATTGGCGGGAAATATCAGGAAAGAGGGTAAGGACAGAATTGAGAGTAATTGATCCATGTGTGCAGACGATCGACTCATTAGGAGTGTTAGAATGAGAACTGGGGTACGAGATTTCAATCTAAAGTATTTAAGATAACTTAATATTGTATTGTACTGGCAGTCATGAGCTCTATATTTCCATTCGTTTAGATAAAGAAATGTGTATGTTGTACCAAACATCAATAAAGAAAAAACAAGACAGCAAGGAGCTCTATATTTCCATTCATTTAGATAAAGAAATGTGTATGTTGTACCAAACATCAATAAAGAAAAAACAAGACAGCAAGGAGATTAGTTTTTAAGTTTCTAAATTGTGGATATAGATTTTGAGTCTACCACTGACTATGCCAAAGTAAAATAACGGATGATGATTTGAAAGACAGAGTGCGTCCAAAATGGGAACAACAAAGGAATAAGTATGATTTAAACAAGTTGATTGCCGCCCCTGGGATTATCTAAGGTACCGAGAAGAGGAATATAATGAATTACGGTACGTTTACGTTTACATCTTGCAAAAGACTAATAAGTGCGTCAGCATGTGTCTGTGCTGCAGGAGAATCCCAGAAAATTGCTGTATTGCTAAGATTAGATCATTTCGATTATTTGTGTGTACGCGCGTGGGTGTGTGTGGGTGTATGTGAGTGAGTGTAGGTGATATTTACTACATAATGAAAACAAAATAAAATAATAATAGAAATATCAAGATAATGGCAATTATCCAAATAGACAAGTGCAAATCTTTATTTTGAAATTAAAAATTCTTTACAATTTCATCTAATATATCTTCTTTCCTTTTCATACTACCACTTATCACTCTCATTTTCCCCTACTCTTTTTCTCCTTTCTTTCCCATTCCTTTTTAAAAAATTTAATATTATCCTTACCGTTCTCCTCACTTTCCTTCTATCGTTTTCCTTAATTTTTCAAATCTATACTTACCTTATTTCCATTCGTTCAATCAACATAACGAAACGAAAAAAGTAGGAACGACGATATTTTAACGATAATAATTAGACTTCAAAGACAGGCATATGATTCTATCCAAGGTATACATATAATTTTCAAAGTAAATTTTTGAACACGTTCAAGTCTGTAAATATGAATATCATAACAAGGATCAAATAATTGGCATGCATATACAAGACGAGGGCGGATAAGTGTAATGTATAATTTCATAATGTATAAGAATCGCAGACAGTGTAGAACTGTCTGTAGATGAAACCCAAGAATATATTTGCCTATTTTGTAAGGTTATGAATAGCGTCGTTCCAAGCTCGTCTTGAATATGATGCCAGATGCCGAGATATTTGAAACTAGATACATGTTCAATTAAGGCATTTTCAACATAAAATAAGTTTACAGTCTCATTTACTTTCCTTGAGATTTAGTTTTTAGCCTTTAGTTTTGAAAATATTGTACGTTAGTATACTGATCGTTCAGGGCGCAGATCTTGGGTTGAGAGGGAGGAGCCCTCAAAATGTTTTTAAAAAACCCCAAGAATACTGCCAGTCGTAGAGGATGATATGGAAGAATATAATAGCATGTCATCGGCAAACAGGGTTATTTCAAAATAAAGTGTGAATTGTAAATTTTCAACACTATCAATATATTTTTGGATAATTTTCTTTTGTTTAACCAGTTGTAATAAATGTTACATGCCTGCAACGTTTCAAATGCACTTCAACTATTCTTCCTCAAGCATCGACTCTAATGGCCAAAATCGGTACGCGTTTGATAAGCAATCAACCGGTGCCCCGTTACACGTGTTCTTCGAATCAACAGTTTATCAATGATTGGATAATTCCGATTCGTGTGAGCCAGTGTCCCTGTTCATAACTTGCGTGGTTTCCGGATCCAAATCAGGGGTGGCGCCAGGATTTGGATCAGGGGTGGGGGGGGGGATTTGTCTAAACACAGATTTAGACAAACTGCCATCGTTATTAGCTGTATTCAAAGCATCAATGGAAAAAAATTGATCGTTTACCATAACTTCCATGATGAATTTTATTGAACCAGACAGGTCGGTGTGGTTTAAGATGAAAGATGAAGTGGTCAATATCTTTCGTAATTATGGCCAAGATGTCATCGACATAACGTCTCCAATTTATTGCTTTTATTTCATCAGGTGCGTTCGAAATTGCTTGGTTTTCTAGCCACTTCAAGTACATGTTTGCGATAACTAGAGACACTGGATTGCCCATTACAATTCCCTGCTGTTGGATGAAATACTAATTATTAAAAGGGAAGTATATGGTATCCAGAGCCTTGTTAACAGCTTGATAATATATCCAACATTGAGTTTAGTTTCAACAAATGATTGGATTGTTTTGGGATGTTCACTTTTTTTCATTAAATTGTGATCTCACAATGTCAACAGCTTTTTTTGTAGGGGTCGTAGTGAATAATAAAGTGACAAAGAAGAAACCAGAGTATGTAGAGGATCTACAGTTAGCTCCTTCATTTCTTCAGCCAATTAAGTCAAAATTAAAAACATGTGGTGCAATTAGATCTGAGAAGTTTAAATGTTTGGTGAAAAATAGTACTGATGTACGGTTATTCTTAAGTGGTTTATAGACATTTGTGTCAGCCAAAATTCCTTCAACTTTAGTTATGTAATCTTTGGAGTTGATACCACCGTAGCCCGGCATTTATCAGCCGGTAACATAATAATCCAAGACCAAGGAAACTCGCCTACCGATTGAGGACGTATCACACCGCGTACATAGCGTGTTGACCAGCATTAGAGTCAATGCTATAGCTATAGAAATAATAGCCGAAGCGCATCTGAAACGTTGCAGGTATGTAACATTTATTACAACTGGTTAAACGAAAGAAAACACCTCTGAAACCAGATGAATTTACTATCAATATAACCGAGAAACAGTAGCGGGTCTGAGATCGAGCTTTGTGGCACTCCAGATACAATAGGTGTTCATTCAGAATGACATTAATCCAATACTACATGTTGAAATCTATTTTCAAAGTAAGGACCTAATAATTTTAAAAGTAATGAATTAATTTCAAGACGATAAAAGTTATTGCAACATATACTAAAGAAGGACGGAATCGAAAGCTTTACGCAGATCAAAAAATATACACGCAACTTCACGAGATGATCCTAAATGCTTATGGCAGTCATGTACAACATTTATTAGCGCAGAAACAGCAGACGGCCCTGCCTAAACCCATATGGAGCATTACTGAATCCACCCAGTCCCAGAATATTATCAAATAAACGATTATAAATGTGTCTTTCAAGAGGTTTGCTGAGATATAAGGAGTTTGAGCTATGATTTTAAGGGGATGTAGCTTCTACTCCTTTCGAAATAAATAATACGATGTTTCAACAATTGTTTATATATAGAGACTATGAGTAATATCATTATATATACAGTATTATATATATAATGATATTACTCATAGTAATATCATTATATATATAATACTGTATATATAATGATATTACTCATAGTCGCTATATATATCATTATATATACAGTATTATAATGACTTTCGGGCACCTTCTTATGCTAATTTCTCAAACAAGAGTATGCTGGCTTTAGGATGGCATGCCTCAAATATATCTAATATAAAATATGTAATACTGCAATAACTAACTAAAACTTATGAAATACAAATCAGTACAAGTAAAACGACTTATAGTGGTACTGGCACTGGTATGGGCATCTATAATGCGCCTCTTCCTTGAGGTTATAAACAAAGGTGGCCAAAATTTCTCAGAAGTGTAGTTTTTCTACCAGACCGGGGGGGGGGGGGTATCTTGCTGCTGATAGATTACTCGCGCTCGCGCCCCTTGCCCCCCCCCCCAAAAAAAATAACGGTCAAGTAGTTAAAAATCACCTAAAATCACCATATTTTGCGAATTAGCGCCCCTCAACTGATCATCGTGCCCCACTTCACCTTCGCGCCACCCACCCCCATCAGCCAACCCAATTCAAGACTTCTAGATACGCCACTGCTAAGCAACCCCACCAGGTACCTACCCATTTATACTCCTGGGTGGAGAGAAACAATGCATATAAAGTGTCTTGCTCAGCGAGGGATTGAAACCCCAACCTGGAGGCCAAGCTTATGGAATCATGTTTTGAAAACATTGCAATGCATGAGAATGAAATTAATGTTACTCCTACTCAAGTACCGTATCTGAAGTTACCAATAATTAAATTTCAATTTTTCCTACAAGTTAACCTTTTGCCAAAACATATGCCTCATTTAAGAACAGGGAAAATCAAGGAGGAGGACACTCATCTTGGGACATCAAAGCCTGTCTCTCAGTTGCCCAATGGCGTAGCTACGGGCAGTGCAGTCACTTCAAAGCACTGGGGCCCAGAGCTACAGTATTAGGGGCCCATTCATAAATAGACCTAAAAATGATAATTTAAATAATTTCAAACTTAAATATATTCAAACGGCCAACGGGCCCCTCAATTCTATTCGGTTTTTAGATAAGTAATTATTGATTACTGTGTTGACTTCAATTAAGTGGTGTATTTAAGGGGGCCCCAGCCGCCCCGACCCCTATTTTTCAAAATTATTAAAAAAATGGGGAAAAGGGAAATTATATTAATTATATTATAAGTCTGAGAGTGCCATTTCCGTCTATGTAGAAGTGCTATAATCATAAATTTTCTTAACTCAGACCCAAGCATGGTGGGGCTGAGGTGGTCTTCATCATTCACCTGTGAAACTCCCTCCCTGGCAGGGGTGGCGCTAGGACCTGCCCGACGGAGGGGCTAAAGGCCCCGACGGGGGGGGGGAGGCTATTGGATCGAATCGAGTCTCACTTGGCTGGGGGCCGGCTAGGGCCCCCGGTTTGGGGGGGGATATTTGATGAATTATGGCGAATTTTTATTACTTATTTGATAGGCATCGAGTTATTATAATATGACTTCGTGTAGGCTATGCTTTCTAATGTTGACATCAGCTTCCAAAACCAAAACATTTTGAATAAAGCAAGAAACAAAGAGTATGCAATGTAACCATCTAATTTATTTTCAAATCCCGGTCATTCTTGAAAGTGAAATTCTATATTTTGAAAATTTTGCATGAAATCTGTCAACCACGTTGTCATGGTCGAGGTTGCTTCACCTATCACGATGTATTCCAACCATCATGAGGCTATCTAAATGAGCATTTGTCATAACAGAACGCAAATTATTTATAATTAGTCTGATTGAATTATTATTATTAATATTATTATTATTGTTATTATTGTGGTTGTTGTTGTGATGAAAAGTTAACACAAACGATATAGTGGCTAAAGGAATATTACATGTAAATATTTTTTTTTTATTTGTTTGTTCCCCGACAAAATTTATCGTCTTCCCCGACGGAGGGGGGATATAGCCCCCTCTGGCGCCACCCCTGCTCCATGGCCCCTCTATTTCGAATTCTTTGATCCGCCACTGCAATACATTTTATGTGCCATCAATTTTCCGGATTAGTTTAGAACAGCTGCTGATACCGAACATGCACCTCTTAACTATAGTTGCGGTACGAATCCGATTATCATTAGTATTTATTACTAACCTAGGCCTTTAGGAGAAAGGTGTAAAAGAAACAATTCAGACTAAATGAATTTTCTGAACTTTAGGAAATTCCCCTATCACATCAAATGACTCGGAAATTAATCTTGCACTGAGGTCCTTTCGCACCTAGCTACGCCGCTGCAGTTGCCATAAGTATATCGTGCTGTAAGGTGTTTTTTAGAAGGCGGTGCCTTTGTAATTTCGTAAAGGTCTAGATACTCATCATTTTTAACCGACCGATGAGGTGGTGCACCGTGTTTATGAAACTAACCGTCATAAAAAAAAACCGTAAAAAAATAATCAACTCTCTGTATCTAAACAAAATGTAAGAATTAAAGGAAGTGAATTTCGAGCATCTAGGTCTCATAATATATCATAATTGGCATAGGCCTATATATGGAGGAATGTGCCCCCACCCCCTTTGAAAAATGTTCGAAACAAAAAAAATCACACTCAAGGTACTTAATATCTACCTAAAATCACCTTATTTTGCGAGCTAGATCCCTCTCACCCAATCATCAAGCACCTACTTCACCTTCGCGGCCAGCGCCCCTTCCAATTATCTCCTCATTTCAAGATTCCAGATACACCCCTGGTCTGAACGCCCGAGAAGATAAGCAATTTTTAACCATGAGATGTAAGCAAACTGAGACAAGAGTACGGATAATCGTATTTTGATGAAATAGGACTGGGACGACCCCACGAAAGTGAGAAAAAATAATTAACTCCATGCTCAGTCCGAGTTATTTAGACCCCACCATGCACACACACTACAAAGAAACTAAATCGTATTGTTTGGCATCCAGGGCGGATTTAGGGGGGGGGGCCGGCCCGGCCCCGGCCCCCCCTTTTGGGAGGTAAAAAAAAGAAAAAAAAAGAAAAAAAAGAGAGAAAAAGAAAAAAATGATAGCCCAGAATGCCTCAAATGTTACAGGCCCAGAATGCCTCAAATGTTATGTTCGGGCGTCTAGAACACAAAAATTTCGCGGGGGCATGCCCCGGACCCCCTACGACAGTGTTGTCTCAATCGGCCCAACTTTCGGCCCCCGCTTCCGGCCCCCCTTTTGGACATTTCTGGATCCGCCCCTGGCATCGATCCGTGGTTGAAAGTGGGAGGGAGACGATTGCAAAATGAGTAAGACCCTTGGCTGGAGGAAAGGGGGGCCGCCGCATTTGGCATTTTGGTAAACACGCCGCGTCAAGCCTGAGCCGTCGTTCCAAAAATTATGTAGTTTACACGCATGCGCTAGAATTTTGCGATCGAGTTTGTGAAAAAGGAACGTAATCATCCGAGCGAAGGGTTTCCGATTTTGACGAACTTTTAGAGATATGCGAAAACCGATATTGTCATGATATTTTACAACAGGAAAAACAGTTTAAAAGAAATAATGAAAAAACTTCAGAGGATTGCTACTACTCACGACTATATGCCTGTAATAGTAATAGCTACAGCGTCCTGCTCGGTGATATTCAAACTTAAAAGTTTGCCCATGTACAATTAAAGAATATGTCTAGGCTAGGTCCTTGTTACATTATTACACTAATGTCAGATTAGTATGTTATAGAGGGCGTGTTGCAGAGAATGACTTGCACCCATGGAAACGTGTGATTTTGAAGTTGAATAAAATTCGTTGTTATCATAACAACTAAATCTTGGAATTTTGAACAGTGCTGCCATTTGTCAATACTCTCTCATGAAACAAGTGCAAGGCAAAGTTTTTGGACTTTTTACTTAGTTTACATTTGTGGTAAATTGTGGTTTAAAATACTGTATCATAATCATGCCTGCTGATATATTTTGTGCAAACTAACATTCATAAAAATACTGATTTATTATCTACTGATTAGCCCGAAAAACAATTAAGATAAACTTAAAACAGTCAGTCTAATTTAGTCTCTATCCTGGTAAACATAATCATGCCCGCTGATATATTTTGTGCAAACTAACATTCATTCAAGAGGTTTTTCCTTTTCTCCTGTTTTTGAATTTCACTTTTGTGCAAGTAATATTGCGACTACACTATTGAGAGTGGAAAAACTACCATCAAATTTACGATCAAACAGGACTATGGAGATAAGAAGCACACAAAACAGTTAACATTTGTATTTCACAAACATAAAGGTGATTTATCATTATCATGACATCATATCGAGATTGCGTCAACGTAACATCGTTCGTAAACTTGTGGTATCACTACTTAAATAGACAGACATATCCGTGTCAAAGACGGTATAATTATTATTTAATAACGGCTATAATATTAAACACTCTATAGTATATACGGGTCTTCATAATACTGTACGTAAAAGGAATAAATCGTTTATAGTAGAAATTGTGCACTTTTGAGTTTGTAAAAATGTTGGCCTAATAGGTTTACACGCTTCCAATTTTAACAATGTATAGTACATTGTTTTCACAATAAATTTAGCCGCTAATAATCGTTGCACCCATAAAATGGAGTGGTTACTGAGATGGTTACGAAATGTACAAACGATTGCGTTTTTACTCGGTTTTGGTCCGGAAATATGCACCGCACTATAACAGAGACAGACAAAATTCACTACAGTCATTCGTAATTGTTGTTCTTTCCACCCGCTTTGAAAGCTGGGGCTATAGAAAAATGGTGGAAAGTG